GCTACTCGCTGCTAAGAGCACTCGCCCCAACGGTCCGTTGAAGGCAGTTCACGTTGAGGTTGGTACCTTTGTCATTACAGGTACCCATGGGGCCCCTCGCCTTCATGCCTGGCCACCTCATTAAGACTAATGAGGTGACGGTGCTGCTGGGAGACAATTGGTTCGCCTCGTTATCGGCCAAGCAAGCGGAAGGCATCGCAGAGCACCGCATGCAACGTACGCACGCACAGACACACACACACACGCAGACAGACACACAGAGACGGACACACACACAGACACACACGCAGACAGACACACGCACATAGACACACAGACAGACGCAGACGCGCGCACATACGCAACAACCGCCATTCATCACTAAGTGGCGGTGACGTCACCACGGCGCTTGTGCCAGGCCATGTGCACGTTAAGGCCACGTGAAGTGTCGAACTCCCGCTGGCTGGAGGTCACGGGGCAGACCCAGGTGCCATGGGTCGACTGACTGAGATGGCACGCACACACACAGACAGATGCACACACACAGACAGATGCACACACACAGACAGATGCACACACACAGACGCACACACACAGACACACGTGCACACACAGCACCTATGAAGGCCGCCACTGGCACACGAGGGGGTGGGTGGCCAGCACCACGCCCGGCCGCCTTTGTCTCCCCAGTGCTAGCGGTGTTCACTACACACCGCTGCACCAGCTACTCAGAATCAGAATGTTTATTGACGCTGGAGGAATCCGTTGAGCTTCAACGCTCTTCCTCACAGACGTGTACTCATTTGAGGCTGAGTCGACCTAGACACACGCACCACCGCAGTATTCACCGGGGCTGCTTGCCGAGCTCGAACCTCCGGCTAGAGCGAGCGACGGACGGGCTGTGGTACTGGGTCACCGTTGTACTGTACTTCCATGTGTCTCGCCTGGTATTTGTACGTAGATATTTTAAGTGATTTGTTTTTGCCTTTCCTATACTTTGACTGCTATCGCGTTTGTGTTTTGTTGTGTTTGTTGTAATGTTCTACCCCTGTGCCCCTACTGAAACATCTGTTCCAAAGAGCTTCGGAGCTTATTGAATTCCTTCAGTATAAATCTTCAGAGTCTGTCTTGCCCGCCCCCCCACCCACCCCACGTGTCTCCCCAGACGTCCAGAAGACGATCGACGACCTGGGCAGAGCGCAGGGGAGCGTTGAGTCCCGTCAGAGGTTCACCAGCGAGCTCGCGGGGCTGGACAAGGTGAGGGGGTAGGATGGCCTTGTCAGCGTCGTCAATAACTCCCAAGGCTGGACAAGGTTAGAGATGGTGGGGGGAGCCTTCACGTCGTCGGCGTCGTCAAATAAGAGTTGACTTTATTTTTTTCCCCGTCGTCAGGAAAGGGGGAATATGGAAATACGGGAGGAGTTGGAGAACGATGAACCGAGGCAGAAAGGTGAGGTCGCGAGCCCGACACCGGAGTTGAGCGCGAGGCACCGAGCCTGGTGCTGCCTGGTCTCTGACCCTGGGACCCCGAGTCTCATCTTGGGGCGGTGTCTGTGCAGGAAAGCCGCGGGTGGCCCACAGCCCCCACTCGAGGCCCCCCCCCGCCCCTCCCCGCGAGACCCCGGCCGCACCTCCCGACCCCCGTCACCAGCGAGAGGACACGGAGGAGATGAGTCGTATCTGGGCGAGGCTGGATGAGCTGGAGAGGGAGGAGGAGGCGATGGATGAAGTGTTCAGGTGACGGTGGTCGTGGTGGTGGTGGTAGTGGTTGTTGTATATGTTGGTTATCAAAATTTGTTATGTTGTATGCGTGCGTGGGTGAAATTATTATGTTGTATATGTGGGTTATGAATATTCAGTGAAAATAATAATTAAATGAAATTTGGCCAAATGTGTAATTATCCGGAAATATGTTAATTTATGTAATTATGCACATTTTAATTATGCCAATTCGAGAGGTAATCGTATTAATTATGCGAGTGGGTGTAATTATGATAATCCAAGTCGTTATGATAACCAGACCCCGCCTCGGTGATGAGGGTGGGTTATCGATCGGAATAAGGCAATTAATCGTATGCAGTTATGCAGGTGTGGTGTAAGTATGCAAGATTGACTTAGATTAACTCGGCATCGTTGTCTAGGTTCGTCTCATTCTCGCTTTAACATTCCCAGAGTGTGTATTCGTGGTTATATTTTAGGTCCCCGATTCACCCCGTTATCGCTTTAACATTTACTGAGTATGTGTTAGTGTGTTTATTAAGGTCACCAAGTTCAGATCTCAACGCAGAAGCAGATCTTATGCATAGATTTCAGGAAAGAATCACACAACCACTTCTGTATTGATCAATTTATTACTAATTCAACCTTAACTATGATATAATATGCGAACTCTCAATCCCGGAACGTCAACACGGCATCAATACAGTATCATCAACGATTGTCTGATTTCACTTTGACAACGGCACATGGATCCCGCATAACGCGATGGTTGTTAGTGAGAGAGAGAGTCGTTAAAATATTCAAATACTATGCTAAGAAAACCTTAACGTTAATGAATGATTATACTCAATATTGTTCACGCAGTACCGCACTCCTTATTGATCATACGCAACCCTTATCACGTTGTTAGCACCTTGGGTCACGGGACAGTTGAATATTCTGTAGAGGATGCGAGTACGTGCGGCGATTATGACTGAAAGATACTTGAAAGATTATACGGCGATAAAAAAAAACACAATCAAAAACAGTTATTATTCTTAAAGGCATCAATCTCAACAGATACATCGGCAGGTTATCTGACAACAGAACGGCTCGGAGTAAGGGCCTGCGACGGTGCTCCTTTTCCGAAGATCGTTATCTTATACCAAGTTTACTAATTGGGGACCAGATCACCTGATAAGGATCCGGTGGGCCACCACTCCCCACGTGAGCGTGGCTCGGCGGAAGGAGGTGCCAAGAATCAGTTCGTATTGATGGATCTGTTGGGAATTTATGCGATTAAGAGTACAGCCCGCTAAATATTAAAGATAAAAATTACGAATACTTTTATAAACGACGGATGGCCATCACTCGGTCTCGTTGTGATGCCTTCCCAGCCACAGATGGCTTATGGGTTCGAGTGTGTTTGAGTGGTAAGAGTTGTCTTGAATAGTCAGTGTTCGGAGTCGATTCTTTATGTCAAACAGACGCCTGGTGGTCGTGTGGTGAGGGGGCGGTGCGCGTCATACGTATCAGTCGCTCCCCTGTCATCGTGGTGAACTGGTTCGGATGCCCGTTGATACGCTGTCGCAGTTCGGAACCCGGTCGGTAGGTGGCGCCCACAACTCGCTCGCAGCGTGCAGTGCACGGAGCCTCGTCGCCAAACCGCGACCCTCACCACTCCGGCGGCAGCAGAGACCTCCGACTCGGCAGAGGTTGACCCACGCAGGCTGAGTTGAGCTGTCAAGCGGGTCTTGCCCGCCTGCAGAGGAGATGGGGAGCCGCTTGAGTCGAGCCCCGAGAGCCGGCTTTGGTAAGCCGATCGAACTCGGCTGAGTCCCAGACGAGCTGAAGATGAGTCGAGCCGACCCGCTGGTCGCACTCGCTCCTGAGCCGACCCTCCCGGTCGAGCTCGCTCCTGAGCCGACCCGCTGGTCGCACCCCCCACGTGAGCCGACCCGCTGGTCGCACTGGTTTCCAATGCTCAGGATCCTTTCCTTTATGCCGAAAAATCCCCCTGGATCCCGCCCACAAGGCGGGGCTTCTTTCGATTTTTGCTGTGTCAGGATCTGTCCGTAGGCAGGTGTGTCCATGTGTGTGTCTGTACGTCCGTATGTCCTTGTGTGCATCACTCACGGTATATTCCGTTGTCACCCTCCCTCCATAAAACCCACGAGCAAACAATCAGATGTTACAAATTGCCTCGAAGTCGTCTCTCTGTCTGGGTGCAATATTATCTCTTGTCTGGCCTTCTTCATGAACCCAAAACACAGACGTTACAAATCGTCTCATAGGCGTCTTTGTTCGTGTTGCACAACCTGGAGGGAGGGGCAACACTCTCTCCGACCCGGCGCACAAAGAAATGGTTAAAAAGTTTTAAGTTAACATTTGTCCCTTACTATTTCACAGTTATGATTCTGTATGTAACCTAAGGTCTGTCGTTTCCCATCGTGGTGCTTGACTCAAGTGGAGGTGTTTCCCCGAGCGTATACACACTCCTATCCCGCGCTGCGGGGATACAAAGACGGCCGGGATCTCCCTTTCTCTCCGACCCTGGGTTTAACATCGGTTTTTTTTTATTATGTATTTATATTCGACCTGGTGGTGATTCATCCCGTTATCCTGGCTTTTCCATAAGTTTTACTTTGTCTTTTCATGCATATGCTTATTACTATTAATTTATTTCCGATATCTTAGGTTAAGGGGTAAGTTTCTTGATCCTAGGAATTCGTATTCCTTGGTGTCTGCATGGTTATATAAGCGGAATATAGTTTACGGTGAATAGCGTTAACATTGATGTTATGTACGATATTATGTATTGTGATGTCTTTAACTTAACTTGTTTGTCAGGGCTTTACTGACACGAAGTTGCATTCCATAGCCCCGCAGTCTTTGCCCCACCCTATCTCTGCTCGCCGTGGTTGTTGCTGTCCAGCTGACGCCGTTAACTCAAGGCCTCATTAATTTCCGTCACTCCTTGTGTGTGAGGGCGGTTGAACCTTGGAGTCAGTTCTGGTTTTTGTCTGCCTGCTTCTTCTTGTGTCCCCTGACCCCGGGAGTTATTATTTCTACTTTTATGGCCTGTCGAAGCCCGACTCGCTGTTGCTGGGCTGGTCGTTCCCGGCTTTTTGCTTACGTTTGCAGTTCGCCGTGCTCTTAATTTCCTTCCCTCTTCAACCTTATATCGACTATTCGCTCCTGTCTGGGTGTGATTCAATTTTAACTTAGGAAGGTTCTGATTGTCATATGCTTCGGGTCGAGTTGTATAGAAAGTATTAAAGTATGGAAATAACATTTCATATTGACTTAATGATGGTGATGGTTCAGTAGGCGTAACTTGTGGCCTGGTTTAATTGGAGTGGGTGTGAATATCAATAACTTTAGCCTACCCTGTTGTTAAATTCCGACTTTAACGTTACTTTAATAGCAATACAGAATAATTGAGCTTTTTGTCTTAACTAGGCGAACGCGAACTTCTGGTGACCCCCGCAGCCTTGTTGTTCAGCTGGGTCTGCCTCCTTGAGAGATACAAAACACTCTTATTCTCTTCACTGTGGCCATCCAACCTTCTGCTCTGGGAGTGTTATTCTTAATTTCAGGTCAAAGGCCCCCTCACGTTCAGACGTGCAGGGTTGTTTAAATCAGCTCCCTCCCCTGTGCACACAGCCTTGAGCTGACCCACTTATTTTCGTTCCCTCAGCTGCAGGAGGACAAGGCGTACTTCTACCTCCCCCCTGTGTGCACGTGTTCTAACTAGCTCGGAATCCCTAAACACACAATCAGTGATGATTCCTGGCTTTCTGTGGTTGTGATTTAGACAAAGGCGCCTCTGCTTTCTTCCATTGCCTTTGAGTCGACACTGCCCTATTATTTGCCCATGTGCTGAGGTCATAGAATTCGTTTTGACTTCAGTAATATTAACATTCAGTATTGGATTAGCAAATGGCAATGGTTCATTGATGTAGCTCGCAGCCTGGTCTCCAATTTGAGCGAGCGCGAGGATCGATACTTTAGCCTACTCTGTTGTTGAATTTCGAATTTTGACGTTACTTTAAAACCATGCAGGATGGTTGGGCTTTTTGCCTTAACTATGTCTGGCTGACACTCCCACTGTCTCTGCCGCCTGCACGGGTGACATGTGCCCGTTCATCAGGCCTTATCTTTCCTTGAAGCAAGGTTGCAAATTCTGCCATCCTAGCCCTCCTCCAGTTCATTACTTAACAACACCTGGTGTTTTGCAGTTTGCTGCGCTTTGGTGTGTTTAAAAAAAAAAACAAGTAAAAAGATAATATATAAAAATCATCAAATATTATTAATCTCAATTTTGGAAGAAGGGTTAGTATACAACATGGTGGTGGTGGTGGTCGTGGCGGTGGTCGTGGCGGTGGTAGTGTCGGTGGTAGTGGTGGTGGTCGTGGCGGTGGTAGTGGCGGTGGTAGTGGCGGTGGTAGTGGCGGTGGTAGTGGCGGTGGTCGTGGTGGTGGTAGTGGTGGTGGTCGTGGTGGTGGTAGTGGTGGTGGTAGTGGTGGTGGTCGTGGGGAGCGGTTGTGTGGTGTTTGGCGCTACGAACTCGGCGACCCGAGTTCGATTCCCGCTCGCGGCCAACACCGGTGACGATTATGTGAAGAGGTCCTGGGCATCCCCAAGGTCGGCTCGGCCTCAAATGAGTGCCTGGTGCGGTGCGTAAACATCTCCACTGGGGAGACAAAGGCGGCCGGGCATGGTGCTGGCCACCCACCCCCTCGTGTGCCACATTGCCGGCCTTCATAGGCGCTGCTGCTGCTACTCGCTAGCAGCACTTGCCCCAACAATGTGCTAAGGCTCCACGGGGCATCTTTGTCTTTAATGTTAGTAGTCATGAAAGTAGTGGTGGTGATTTTCATTCCCTCTGCTGCTGATGATAGTGGTGTTATCAATAGTTGCTGCTATGATGATCATGCCAAACCCTTATCTTTACCAACAGGGCAGAAGATAGCAACCCTGCTGATGCTGATGATGTTGCTGATGGTGACATTGCTGATGATAATGCTGGTGGTGGTGGAGATATTTTGGAAGATTCAGAGTCCAATCAAATCCACCGTCACATATCGGTAACCACCAAAAGTTCTAAGTGAGTAACATCCATAGATTCGTCACGCAGACCCACAGACTCGCCACACAGTAGAGACCCATAGACTCATCACACAGCAGAGACCCACAGACTCATCACACAGCAGAGACCCATAGACTCATCACACAGCAGAGACCCATAGACTCATCACACAGCCGAGACCCATAGACTCATCACACAGCAGAGACCCATAGACTCATCACACAGCAGAGACCCACAGACTCGCCACACAGTAGAGACCCATAGACTCATCACACAGCAGAGACCCATAGACTCATCACACAGCAGAGACCCACAGACTCATCACACAGCAGAGACCCATAGACTCATCACACAGCAGAGACCCATAGACTCATCACACAGCAGAGACCCATAGACTCATCACACAGTAGAGACCCATAGACTCATCACACAGCAGAGACCCATAGACTCATCACACAGCAGAGACCCATAGACTCATCACACAGCAGAGACCCATAGACTCATCACACAGCAGAGACCCATAGTCTCATCACACAGCAGAGACCCACAGACTCATCACACAGCAGAGACCCATAGACTCATCACACAGCAGCGACCCATAGACTCATCACACAGTAGAGACCCATAGACTCATCACACAACAGAGACCCATAGACTCATCACACAGCAGAGACCCACAGACTCATCACACAGCAGAGACCCATAGACTCATCACACAGCAGAGACCCATAGACTCACCACACAGCAGAGACCCATAGACTCATCACACAGTAGAGACCCATAGACTCATCACACAGCAGAGACCCATAGACTCATCACACAGCAGAGACCCATAGACTCATTACACAGCAGAGACCCATAGACTCATCACACTGCAGAGACCCATAGTCTCATCACACAGCAGAGACCCACAGACTCATCACACAGCAGAGACCCATAGACTCATCACACAGCAGAGACCCATAGACTCACCACACAGTAGAGACCCATAGACTCATCACACAGCAGAGACCCATAGACTCATCACACAGTAGGGACCCATAGACTCATCACACAGCAGAGACCCATAGACTCATCACACAGTAGAGACCCATAGACTCATCACACAGCAGAGACCCATAGACTCATCACACAGCAGAGACCCATAGACTCACCACACAGCAGAGAGCTACAGACTCATCACACAGCAGAGACCCATATACTCATCACACTGCAGAGACCCATAGTCTCATCACACAGCAGAGAGCTACAGACTCATCACACAGCAGAGACCCATAGACTCACCACACAGTAGAGTCCCATAAACTCAACAAACAGAGACCCATAGACTCACCACACAGTAGAGACCCATAGACTCACCACACAGTAGAGTCCCATAAACTCAACAAACAGAGACCCATAGACTCACCACACAGCAGAGACCCATAGACTCACCAGATAGAGACCCATAGACTCATCACACAGCAAAGTCCCATAAACTCAACAAACAGAGACCGATAGACTCATTCAGTGACACATTCAAAGATGTGGTAACTCACCATTTAATTCGCTCGTTCACCCACTCATGCACTCAATTACAGGGTGGGTGTGTTTCTCTTTCTACACAGAGAGAGATGGCGCAGCTGGTTAGCGCGCTACGCTACGAACCCGGCGGGCCGAGTTAGATTCCCGCTCACGGCGATTATTTGATCCGATCCTGGGCCTCCCCTAGGTCGACTCGGCCTCAATTGAGTAGCTGGTGCGGTGTGTCGTAGTCAACATCGTCACTGGGGATACAAAGGCGGCCGGGCGTGGTGCTGGCCACCCACCCCCTCGTGTGCCGTGTCAACCCTCATAGGCGCTGCTACTCGCTCGGAACACTTTCCCCTAGAGTCTGTTAGAGGCTACACGGGGATCTTTGTCTTTGTCTACCCAGAGAGGAGCAGGAGGGGTCTGCGTGGGAGGGCGAGGGGCTTGGCGACGACCTCACGGAGTGGGAGGGGACGCCCACCATTCGCTTCTCCCACACGACGGAACCCAAGAAGGTGGCCCACGCTACTCTCACTCGTATTCTCATTCGTGACTCATTAGTGCACTCATTCAGCAGGCGGGCGAGCGAGCGGGCGGGTGGGTTGGTGAGCGAGCGGGTGAGTGGGTGAGTGGGCGGGTTAGCGAATGGGTGAGCGAGCGAGTAGGTGAGCAGGCGGGTGGGTTGGTGAGCGAGCTGGTGAGTGGGTGAGTGGGCGGGTTAGTGAATGGGTGAGCGAGCGAGTAGGTGAGCAGGCGGGTGGGTTGGTGAGCGAGCGGGTGAGTGGGTGAGTGGGCGGGTTAGCGAATGGGTGTGCGAGCTGGTGGGTGGGTGGGTGAGCGAGCGGGCGGGTTGGTGAGCGAGCGGGTGAGTGGGTGAGTGGACGGGTACGCGAGTGGGTGGGTGGGCGAGCGAGCTGGTGAGTAGGCGGGTGAGCGAGTGGGTGAGCGATCCGCCCTGCGTTCCCCCCAGGTGCGTATCGACACCGGCAGGAACACGACGCTCAAGTTCAGCGAGCGGAGGGAGCAGCAGCAGCAGCATCGTCGGCGCAGGCACAGCGGTGGTAGCAATGGCGGCACCACCACTCTCCGCTCCCCGGCCGACATCTACAGGTCCGTGTGTCAGTGTGTCAGTGTGTCCGTGTGTGTCCATGTGTGTCCGTGTGTGTCTGTGTGTGTCTGTGTGTGTCTGTGTGTGTCTGTGTGATAGAGCAGCTGTGGAGAGAGTGTAAAGCTTTCCATACTTGGGCAGTGAGCTCATGACCGGCTCCAGCTTGACAGCAGAGGTCTCCCTCCGAATCAGCCGAGCGGCATTCTAATTTCATCGGTTGCGTAACGCTTCTATGTGGAAGCTACCTGGTCTGTCGCTCCGCACGAAGCTTCAGGTCTTCTCGGCCACGGTCATTCCCTCCCTTCTCTACGCTTGCAAAACGTAGACCCCCCTAATGGAACATCTTTGCCGGTTAAAAACATTTAGGCTGGCCTGCCTACGATCCATCCTGGGTTTAACCTGCAGGCTGGATTGTGTGAGGAGCTCACAAATCCATGAGAGATCTGGACATCGGTGAGCGCCTCTGGCAGAGGCGAGGCTGCGTTGGCTGGGTCACGTCGCCCGCATGCCCAGCCACCGCCTGCCCAAGCAGCTTCTGTTTGGCCGGATAGAGGGAGCTCAACGGGTGCGCGACATGGACTGGTGCGGTATGGGAGGATGTGGAGCTGAGTGGACTTGCCGATGACCGGTACCAGCAGTCTAAAGATCGGCCTCTGTGGAGGAGGCTCGTGAAGGTCGCTACTGGGCAGTTGGAGGCAGTCGCCCTCCAGCAACAACGGAGGGCAGAGGGAGCGACGCTCACAACAACGAGCGGAGCACCGGGCGGTTAAAAGGCAGTGAGTTGGGGGCACAGGTGGTGCATCTCTCAGTCATCTCAGTGAGTTGATCCATGGCACCTGGGTCTGTCTTGTGACCACCTCCTCCTGCACCTAGCCTGGCACAGCAATCAACCCATGGCACCTGGGTGTGTCCCGTGACTTCGAGTCGGCGAGCCTTCGACACTTCACGTGGCCTCGGAGTGCACCTGGCCTGGCACAGACGCCGTGTTGTTGTTGTGTGTGTCCGTGTTTGTGCGTGTAAATCTGTGCGCGTGTCCATCCGTTTGTGCTCGTGTATGCGTGGAGGGGGAGCGGTAATGTAGCGGTTAGCGCTCCGCTCCGCTACGAACCCAGTGACCCGAGATTTATTCCCGCTCACGGCCACCAACACCCAGTGACGATTATCTGAACCGGTTCCGTGTGTGCGTGCGTGCCTGTGTGTGCGTGTGTGTGCGTGCGTGCGTGTGTGTGTGTGTGCGTGCCTGTGTGTGCGTGTGTGTGTGCGTGTGTGCGTGCGTGCCTGTGTGTGCGTGTGTGCCTGTGTGTGTGTGTGCGTGTGTGTGCGTGCGTGCCTGTGCGTGCGTGTGTGTGTGTGCGTGTGTGCGTGCCCCGGCCGGAGCAGGTGGTTTGTGGACGTGGCGAGCGGCCACCGCCGCCCACGCAAGTCCATCCTGAAGTCGCGCAGCCACGAGGACGGCCTGGGTAGCGACGAGTTCAGCTACGGCGGCTACGGCGGCAGCAGCAGCAGCAACAGTGGAAGCAGCAACGGCAGCAGCAGCTACAACGGCAGCAGCAATGGCAGCAGCAGCATCAGCGACTCCATCATTAGCGCCATCATCGCCGGTAGTGGTGGCGGTGGTGGTGGTTGTGCCGGAGATGCGGTCTTCCATCCTTCAGAGGGGGGTGATGGCAACACAACCGGCAACAATAACGTCATCAGCAGCAGCAGCAACAATAACGTCACCAGCAGCAGCAACAACAATAACATCGACTCCACCACCAACAACTCAACTGCCACCAACTCCACCACCACCAACAACAACAACTTCACCTGTGAGTCATCCATCACGAGTCAGTCGCCCACCACCACCGACAGCAGCAGCAAGGAGGTGGTGGAGGAGGAGATGTCAAGATGTCCACTGCCTGATGTGAGCATGAGTAGCAGCTGCAGCAGCAGCGTTATCAATATCATCAGTAGCAGAAGCATTATCAATAGCATCATCAGTAGCAGAAGCGTTATCAATAGCATCATCAGTAGCAGAAGCATTATCAATAGCATCATCAGTAGCAGAAGCATTATCAATAGCATCATCAGTAGCAGAAGCATTATCAATAGCATCAGTAGCAGCAGCATTATCAATAGCATAATCAGTAGCAGAAGCATTATCAATAGCATCATCAGTAGCAGCAGCATTATCAATAGCATAATCAGTAGCAGAAGCATTATCAATAGCATCAGCATAAGCGTTATCAATAGCATCATCAGCAGCAGAAGCGTTATCAATAGCATCATCAGTAGCAGCAGCATTATCAATAGCATCATCAGTAGCAGAAGCATTATTAATAGCATCATCAGCAGCAGAAGCGTTATCAATAGCATCATCAGTAGCAGAAGCATTATCAATAGCATCATCAGCAGCAGAAGCATTATCAATAGCATCATCAGTAGCAGAAGCGTTATCAATAGCATCATCAGTAGCAGAAGCATTATCAATAGCATCATCAGCAGCAGAAGCGTTATCAATAGCATCATCAGTAGCGTAAGCGTTATCAATAGCATCATCAGTAGCAGAAGCATTATCAATAGCATCATCAGTAGCAGAAGCATTATCAATAGCATCATCAGTAGCAGAAGCATTATCAATAGCATCATCAGTAGCAGAAGCATTATCAATAGCATCAGTAGCAGCAGCATTATCAATAGCATAATCAGTAGCAGAAGCATTATCAATAGCATCATCAGTAGCAGCAGCATTATCAATAGCATAATCAGTAGCAGAAGCATTATCAATAGCATCAGCATAAGCGTTATCAATAGCATCATCAGCAGCAGAAGCGTTATCAATAGCATCATCAGTAGCAGCAGCATTATCAATAGCATCATCAGTAGCAGAAGCATTATTAATAGCATCATCAGCAGCAGAAGCGTTATCAATAGCATCATCAGTAGCAGAAGCATTATCAATAGCATCATCAGCAGCAGAAGCATTATCAATAGCATCATCAGTAGCAGAAGCGTTATCAATAGCATCATCAGTAGCAGAAGCATTATCAATAGCATCATCAGCAGCAGAAGCGTTATCAATAGCATCATCAGTAGCGTAAGCGTTATCAATAGCATCATCAGTAGCAGCAGCATTATCAATAGCATCATCAGTAGCAGAAGCATTATCAATAGCATCATCAGTAGCAGAAGCATTATCAATAGCATCATCAGCAGCAGAAGCGTTATCAATAGCATCATCAGTAGCAGAAGCATTATCAATAGCATCATCAGCAGCAGAAGCATTATCAATAGCATCATCAGTAGCAGAAGCATTATCAATAGCATCATCAGTAGCAGAAGCATTATCAATAGCATCATCAGCAGCAGAAGCATTATCAATAGCATCATCAATAGCATCATCAGTAGCATCATCAGCACCAGAAGCATTATCAATAGCATCATCAGTAGCATCATCAGTAGCAGCAGCATCAATAGCATCATCAATAGCATCATCAATAGCATCATCAATAGCATCATCAATAGCATCAGCACAAGCATTATCCATAGCATCGTCAGCCACAGCGTTATCAATCGCATTGTCAGCAGAAGCATTATCAACAGCATCATCAGCATCATCAGCATCGGTAGCAGCATTATCAACAGCATCATCAGCATCGGTAGCAGCATTGTTATCATCAGCATCGTCAGCATCTCCGTTTGAACTCGTATCTTCATGTCCCTCACGTGTCTCCCCGTGTTGCCTCCCTGTCCCCACGTCCTACTATCCCCGTATATCCCTCACGTGTCTCCACGTGTCTCCACGTGTCTCCACGTGTCTCCACGTGTCTCCACGTGTCTCCATGTGTCTCCACGTGTCTCCACGTGTCTCCACGTGTCTCCACATGTCTCCCTGTCTGTCTCCTTGTCCCCACGTCCTAGTATCCCCGTATATCCCTCACGTGTCTCCACGTGTCTTTACGTGTCTCCCCGTGCTGTCTTGCCCCCCCCCCCCCCCCCCGCGCAGGCGTTTTCTGGAGTTGTCTCGGAGAGATCGGCCCATGGCGCTCCGCCGTTGTCGCCGCCGCCAGCCACGGCGCCAGCCACGGCGCCAGCCACGGCGCCAGCCACGGCGCCAGCCACGGCGCCAGCCACGGCGCGCCGCCACCACGACGACGATGGCGGCAGGGCAGGAGGTGCGGGTGGTGACGGCTCCCACTCCGGCGAGCCTCCTGCTGCACCCAGACGCGTCTCCAAGTTCAAGGCGGAGCGACTCGCCTCCATGCGGTGACGGCGACAACCACCACGCCGTGACGTGGCTGTGACACCGTAGCCGTGACGACGACCACGCCGTGATGTGGCGGTGACATCGTAGCCGTGACGACGACCACGCCGTGACGTGGCGGTGACATCGTAGCCGTGACGACGATGAAGGTGACGTAGCGGTGACATCGTAGCCGTGACGACCATGAAGGTGACGTAGCGGTGATATCGTAGCCGTGACGACGATGAAGGTGACGTAGTGGTGACGGCACCATGACGACGTAGCGATGACGACGTAGCGACGACGCCGCATCCTCGCCGCGTAGCGACCGACTGCGAGCGGTGAATGATGGCGTCGTTAGCCCCGCCCCACTGGCCCTGCTTGGCCCCCAGCCAGATTCTTCAGACTCCGCCTCCGAGCGTGGCCGGCAGCAGCAGTCGGGGATCGGCCTCGGTTGGTCGCTAGCTTGGCTCGGACGTGGCAGTGGAAAAACACCACCTGTACCGTGCTAGCTTGGCTCGGACGTGGCAGTGGAAAAACACCACCTGTACCGTGCTAGCTTGGCTCGGACGTGGCAGTGGAAAAACACCACCCGTACCGTGCTAGCTTGGCTCGGACGTGGCAGTGGAAAAACACCACCCGTACCGTGCTAGCTTGGCTCGGACGTGGCAGTGGAAAAACACCACCTGTACCGTGCTAGCTTGGCTCGGACGTGGCAGTGGAAAAACACCACCCGTACCGTGCTAGCTTGGCTCGGACGTGGCAGTGGAAAAACACCACCTGTACCGTGCTAGCTTGGCTCGGACGTGGCAGTGGAAAAACACCACCCGTACCGTGCTAGCTTGGCTCGGACGTGGCAGTGGAAAAACACCACCTGTACCGTGCTAGCTTGGCTCGGACGTGGCAGTGGAAACGAGTCTCAGGGTCGGTGTCTCGAGTTGAGACCGGGTCTCAGGGTCGGGGTGAGTTTTCGCGAAATTTTAGGGGGTTGCACTGACATTGACATTGAAATGTGAGCACTTGCGGGGGGTGAGCGGGGGGGGGTAGCGGGGGGGGGGATTTGTAGGGGAGGGTCGAGCGTGGCGATGAGGACGTTTGGAATGTACGGGCACAGTACTTTGTAAACCTGCAACGGCCACTAAATTTGACAAGTGAGAGAGAACCGCCCTCCCCCGTGTCTCGAGTGAGTTTTTCAAGCATCGTTTAGCATCAACGACTCCGCGTCTGTGTGCGTGTGTGCGTATGTAAAGTAGTAACTCGGCGGGAGACGTCTTCACGGGTAGCACACTCCTTTTTATTGACACCAAACTGTTACATGGGTGACTAACACTCACCCAGCCCCTTGGGTGACTAACACCCACTCAGCCCCTTGGGTGACTAACACCCACTCAGCTCCACGGGTGACTAACACCCACTCAGCTACTCGGGTGACTAACACCCACTCAGCTACTCGGGTGACTAACACCCACTCAGCTACTCGGGTGACTAACACCCACTCAGCTACTCGGGTGACTAACACCCACTCAGCTACTCGGGTGACTAACACCCACTCAGCTATACTGACACGGGCTCTTACGCCCCGTAGCCTTCCGGAACACACCCGGCTGGGGTGTCCGTCTCGGCTCTGGGTACCACCGTCCCGACCCACGCGGGCGTCGGACTACGGGTTCCCCAGTCTCGGCTCCGAGCCACACAGGGCCCCGGTCCCGACAAGGACAGCGGGACTAGGGGTCTCGGGCCACTACCTCCTCCACTCCGTCTTCGGTCTTCAACTGGTTAACACTGACCACGAGTGCTCTCGCGCGTCTCCCTTTATACCCCTCCTGCGGACGTCGCTGAGAGCACCCATCTTATTGACCAATCACTGCGCGCGCTGGCTACGATCCTCTTTTCCCCGATTGTATCAGCGCGCCTCACCACCGGCGTGCGCGTTCATACCACGCCCACATCGCGTGCCCAACCCCGCGCCCCGTGATCCATCACTGTCGGCGCACGTCAACACCACCACTACATCACCCCCTACCACATAGCTCGCAGCCGACCCGGCTGCTAACAAAATATACAACACCCCCTCCCCCTTATGTGTGCCCCGTAACATAACAACAAAAACACAACAACACAACATGAACACCGCTATCCGCAAAAAACCAGCAACCGCCACACCCACAGCAAGAACAATATGTACAATCCGGCGAGTGGCAACGACAATGTGTATGCAGAAGGAGCAATAAAAAAAAATGTCTTTATTCTTTTTCTCTTCCTTTCTCTCCGACTCGTGCAGCGTCCCAATATGTCCGAGGGTCCCTTGAACGGGACATTTCCCCAGCAGAGGGGGGGACACAACGGCGAGGTCGGGTTTTGAACAAAAAAATTAAAAAATTTTTTTTTTTTCATGAAAAGTGTTGCGTCCTAGCCCGAGTCCGCCTTGCCGGTCCGTCGTACGGCACCAGACGCGGTTGGCCATCCGGTGATGCCGGCAGTTCAGGAAGGCACGGGCCAGGCCTCGGGGCTCTGCGCGAGCCGCGGGGTTCCGCTTCCCAACGGTCAACAGCCGTCAGGTCCGAGACACCTGGGGGTGGGTCAGTGGGAGACACGTGAGGATCAGCCTGCGACACATCCCTCCCCGAGTCGACGGACACATCACACGCCCGGTCGTCACGGCACGAAACGGGGTCACGCGGCGCCGCGTAGGGTTTCAGTCGGGAGGGGTGCACGTACCAACGGCGTCTTCCCAATTTAATCTGTATACTCTGGGGTCGTGCAACCCGCACAATTTCCACCGGTCCCCTCCATGGTCTCAACAGTTTGGGGGACGTAGCCAACGGTGCGTGTGGACAATGCAGCCAGGCCTTATCGCCCGGTTCCCAATCGTGCGTATGCACCTTCCGTCCATGCAATCGCTCGTTCGCGATCTGCCGAGACCGCGAATTCAATCTCGCAGCCTCTCGCGCTTCAGCCAATTTGGCGATATTAAACTTGATATGGTCTGCCAATTTAGATTTTGCTGGGAAATCCCCAGTTGGACGTCCATGGCCGGATCAGCCTCCCGCCCATACATCAGAAAAAATGGAGAAAACCCGTCGCCGCATGAGGGGCCATTCGATAGGCCGCAAGTACCCCCGGTACCTGTAAGTCCCAATCCACCTGGTCGTCGCATACCTGTTGGCACAGCATAGACGTAATCGTCCTGTTCAGACGTTCAACCATACCGTCAGTCTGCGGGTGGTACGGGGAGGTACGTACTTTCTTTGTACCCAACAGGTCGCACACCTCGCGCAACAAAATGCTCGAAAAATGTTTTCCTTGATCCGTCAGCAAGCGTTCGGGGGCGCCTTTGTCCTAAACATAACCTTGGACAAAGGCGTCCGCCACTGCCGCAGCCGACTGGTTGGCGAGTGGCCATGCCATGGGCCAGCGGGTGAAGTACTCTACGCCAACCAGCAGGAACTTATTTCCCCGAGGTGTAACGGGAAAGGGCCCCAAGATGTCTAGCGCGACCAATTCGTTCGTGCGCGAAACCTGAATGGATTGCAGCGGTGGATTAGCCGCTATTGGTGGTGGTTTTCTTTGGGCGCACCCTACACATCCCTTAAGAATGTTCGCCACGTCGTTGCCCATCCCCGGCCAATAGTAGTCTCGCTGAATGAGGGCGAGCGTTTTGTGAAACCCCAGGTGCATGAGTCGTTCATGGGCAGCCAGGACGACCCTACCCCGCATAGCAAACGGCACCACGAGCACGTGACGCCGGGACATGTTGTCCCACCTCATCAAAAGGCCCTGTCTGCACACCCAGGAACCGACCCGCGTTTCCCCTCCCTCGGGATCGTCAACCTTCCGACATAGCGTGAGTAGGGAGCTGTCGGACATTTGCAGACGGCCCCACTCGATGAGAGGCAACGCTAACAGCGAGTCCCTCCCCGTGGGAGCGTCGACCCCCGTAGTATCCGTGGCGGCGAGCACAACTTCCGCGGGGACAGCGACAGAGGGTTTACACCGCGCCGATCCTAACAGACATGCGCATTCCGTACGCGGCGGCAACCGCGACAATGCATCCGCATTCGAGTGGCGCAACCCCTTGCGGTAAATCGTCGTGAATTGGTAGTCCTGAAGGACCTCCAACCATCGGGACAATTGGCCGGATGGCTGCGCCACCCGCATAGCGTATTGGAGAGCCGCATGGTCCGTGCGAACCGTAAAATGACGGCCATAAAGATACGGCCTGAATTGCTGTATAAAAAACACAATCGCCAGCAATTCACGACGTGTCACGCAGTAGCGTTGTTCCGCGGGGGACAGAACCCTGCTACCGTAGGCGACCACCCGTTCGACCCCCCCGACCACCTGTGAGAGCACTCCCCCGATACCCGTGTTACTGGCATCCGTGTCGAGCACAAACGGTTGCGTGAAATCGGGGTAACACAAGGGGGGAGCCTGCACCAAGGCGTCACGAAGGGAGCAGAACGCGGCCTCCTCTTCCGACCCCCAGTGAAACCGCACCCCTTTAGCCATCAAAGCGTGCAGGGGCCTGGCTATGGTGGCAAACTGCTTGACAAAACGACGGTAATAGGAGGCGAATCCTATGAAACTGCGGACTTCAGTGACAGAGGTCGGCGTTGGCCATGAGCTGACGCATTTCGTCTTAGCAGGGTCTGTCGAGATCCCTGAACGGCTAACGATATGGCCCAAATACCTGACCGATTCCCGAAGCAGAAAACATTTAGCCGGTTTAAATTTAAGCTTAGCGGAACGCATCCTGAGAAACACCGCTCTCAGTCGCTGGAGGTGCTCCTCAAAAGTCCGGCTGAAAACGATGATATCATCGAGGTAAATCAAACAGGTGTCCCATTGGAGGCCTGACAAAACCAATTCCATGAGCCTCTGGAACGTGGCAGGAGCGGAATGTAAACCCATGGGTAATCGGTTGAATTCAAATAGGCCTCCCGGTGTCCGGAAAGCGGTTTTTGGTTTAGATTCGTCATCGAGGGGTAATTGCCAAAATCCCGAAAGCAAATCGAGCGTCGAAAAAAACTGTGCTCCCGCCAAGGCATCCAGAGACTCATCCATCCTGGGGAGCGGATACGCATCGGCCATTGAGATTTTGTTTAGGCGGCGGAAATCGACACAGAACCGCAAGGACCCATCCTGTTTTTTAACCAAGACGATAGGAGCACCCCACGGACTGGAAGAGGGCGCAATGATGTCGGCCGCCAACATGTCATTAACTGCCGACTGCACATGCTCCTTCTCGGCTGGACTGAGCCGGAAGGGATTCTGTCGAATAGGGGCCGCGTCCCCAGTAGCTATGTGGTGGCGCAACAGGTCTGTGCAGCCAATATCATACTTGTGCCTGCTAAACACGTCAGCGAACTCGAGTAGCAAGCCCCTCAATGCACCCGACTGCACACTGGACAAGTTACTGGACCCGGAACACAACGAGTCCAACCACTCCGTCCCCTCCTCACTTTGAGAATGCGTATCGGCACTCGAATCGGCGTGAGCAACGAGCTGTTCCTCGACGGGTAGCGGCGCGGCGTGAGCCAGCACCGTTCCCTGCGTAATCACGGCCGGCCGCGACCCCGTATTCAGGACCATAACGAACGGCTCACTGTCCCCCCTCACCATGGTCTGGGCCACCGCTAAGTCGAGGCCCCCTTTAGCTCTGTTAGACGGCCCCAACAGAACTCCCTGTGCCCCCGCATCTGCCCCGAGGGGTTTCCTCAACCGAAGGGGTACCAACATTTGCGAACTCGGGGGCACCCGTACAGTCTGGGTTGCCAGCGCCTGCACCGTCGCACAAACCGTGCGTATCTTAGTAGGACTCTTCAAAAACTCAACCCGCCGTCCCGACGGAAGCTCAATGCAGGCCTGGTCTATGAGAATTTTGATGGGCATTTTAGACAGAAAGTCCGTGCCTAGTAAACAAGGAACGGCCAACGAAGATGATACAAAAATAGGACCTGCCAATTTTATATCGCCAATACAAATAGTCGCCCGAATCTGGCCGATGATTCCCAAAGATCCCCCGTTTGCCGCGTAAAACGGTACGTCCACCGGCAGAAGGGGTCGACATTGGACGGGAAGAATGTTATAAATAAGGTCCGAAATGATAGTGGCCGACGCACCCGTGTCCACAAGCACCCGGACCTCAACCCCGTCAATGTACCCCGTTACCACGGACGACCCGGCCGACGCAGCCACTATCCTGTGGGCCAATTCGGACCATTCGACTGCTTTCGGGCCGTGTACGGACCCCTCTCGCCGAACCGAACCCCCGGTGCCCATACGCGGTCCCCCCACCGCTAAGCGGCGACCCGAACGTGCCGTGCATGTGGACCGAACGTGTGAGGTGCCGCGACTTGCCGGGTTCAGCTGGGATGTCTTTAGGCCCT